AAATCCCGCCGGGACGTCGGACACGGCAGGAGGGCGCCCGCGGCCATCGCGGGACGCGCGCCGCCCGCTAGGGGCTGAGACGCGAGACCCAGCGCGGCCCTGCGGAAGACAGTGCGGTCTTTCACTCCTTTGGGGGTTGCCGGGCGCTGGGCCCGGGCTGGGGACGTCGCAGTAAACAGACACAGCCCCTAATCCGCCCCTCAGGGAAAGTAGAAATTGAAATAATCATTCACGGGCTGATAACTCAGACCTGCCCTCCCAGCACTTTGGGAGGCCAAGGCAGGAGGATCGCTTGAGCCCAGGAGTTCGAGACCAGTCTGGGCAATACAGTGAGCCTTCGTCTCTTAAAAAAAAGAAAAGATAAGAATTCATTTGGTGCCTACTGTGTGCCAGGCACTGTTCTAGGCCCTGGGGGGGGGGCTACATTCGTCAACAAAACAGCCCAGATCCCTGTCCTTGTGGACTTGACAAGTGAGCGGGAGGTGACAGACAATAATGAATAAATATCGCAACATAAATTGTTGCTAAGAAGCTGGGTGTGGTGGCACAGGCCTGTGATCCCAGCACTTTGGGAGGCTGGAGGATCCCTTGAGGCTAGGAGTTCGAGGTCAGCCTGGATAACGTAGCAAGACCCCCGTTTCTACCAAAAGTCCAAAAAATTTGCAGAGTAAGTTTGATAAGTGCCGTGTGCAAAATAAATCACAAAAGGCAGAAAGCTGGGGTTTGCATGGGAGGGTTGCAGTTTTCTTTTTTCTTTTTCTTTTTTGAGTTGGAGTGTCACTCCGTCACCCAGGCAGGAGTGCAGCGGCACACTCACGGCCACCCCAGTGTCAACCTACTCGGCCACCCCATTGTCAACCTCCAGCGATCCCTTCACCTCAGCCTTCCAAGTAGCCAGAACTACAGGCGCGCGCTACCACGCCAGGCTAATATTTTGATTGATTGTAGAGGTGAGGTCTTGCCAAGTTGCCCGGGCTGGTCTCAAACCCATAGGCTCAGGCAATCCATTCGCCTCGGCCTCCCAAAGTGTTGGGATTACAGGCTGAGCCACTGAGCCTGGCCAGATTGCAGTTTTAATAGGGTGATCAGGAAAGGTCTCACTGGTTGACAAGGGCCTGGGAAAGGTAGGGGAGGGGGCATTTGGGTATCTGGGGAATAGCATTGCAGGAAGAGAAAATAACAGGTGCAAAAGTCCTCAGGTCAGTGCAGAGTGAGCCAAGGAGAAAGTCGTAGGCAATGAGATTGGATTGGTTTTTCAGGGGCAGGGGACAGTCCCCTTAGGCCTTGATGACAACCTTGGGGTGGGAGCTATGGGAAGATTCAGAACAGAAGACCATGTTATAGAAAAAAAAAAAAGCTTGTCCACAGCCAGCATGTATTGAACACTCAATGTGTACACATTTTAATCAAATGGACTTAGTGAGGTGGATTTTAATCATGACTTCCCAGAAAACCTTGACACTCAGGGAGGTTGTCATTCGCTCAGGACTTGAACTCAAGACCGACTGTGCTTTTAGAACCTGAAGAATTAATCACTATGTTCCACAGTTTGTCTGATACGGGAACCTCCTCTCCTCAACCTCAGCCAGTCACCACGGCCATGGCTTTCTCCTCCTTGTCTGGGGACCCATTTCTGTCTCTCTGCCCAATCCCAGGCCTACAGCCCAGGCCACTGTTCTTTTTTTTTTTTCTTTTTTTTCCAGCTTTGTCATCCAGGCTGGAGTGCAGTGGCACGATCACGGCTCACCACAGCCTCAACCTCCTAGACTCAGGCGATCCTCCCACCTCAGTCTCCAGAGTAGCTGGGACTACAGACATGCACCACCATGCCTGGTTAGTTGTTTGATTATTTGTAGAGACAAGGTCTTGCTATGTTGCTCAAGCTGGTCTTGAACTCCTGTGTTCAAGGGATCCTCTGCCTCCCAATGTGCTGGGATTGCAGGCATGAGCCACCGCACCCAGCTCACTGTCCTATTTCTCCTACACACTTTCTACTGGTCCTCCTGTCCTCTGTAACTTGCCTGGGTCCTGCCTGTTCTCCTCAGTCTCTTCCTGTCTTCAAACTGTCTTGAGGTTTACACACCTTCCCCTCCCTTCTCTGACCTTCAACTTCAGGCTCCAACCCCAGAGCCCCCTCCCCAGCTCAGCCATCTGGAACTATCTTGCCTTTACTTAGAGCACAGGCATCTTCCCTACCCTCCTCCCTGCCCCTCAGAGACCAGCATTCCTGACTCAGGCTCATCTCCTGCAGGAAGCCTTCCGAGACCAGCCCACAACTATTTGCTTATGTCTGCTCCTTTAGAAAACATGTATCAGCAGAGCGCAGCGGCTCACATCTGTAATCCCAGCACTTTGGGAGGCCGAGGCGGGAGGATCACTTGAGCCCAGGAGTTTGAGACCAGTCTGGGCTGCATAGCGAGACATCGTCTCTACAAATAATAATAAATAAAAAATTAGCAGCGAACAGTGGAGTGTGCCTGTAGTCCCAGCTACTTTGGAGGCTGAGGTGGGAGGATCACCTGAGCCCAGGAATTTGAGACCAGTCTGGGCTGCATAGCGAGACCTCGTCTCTACAAATAATAATAATAAAAAGTTAGCAGGGAACAGTGGAGCATACCTGTAGTCCCAGCTACTTTGGAGGCTGAGGTGGGAGGATCGCCTGAGCCCAGGAGATCAAGGCTGTGGTGCAATGTGATTGTGTCACTGCATTCTGGCCTGAGCAACAGAGTAAGACCCCCAACTGAAAACAAAACAAAGAAAACAAAACAAAAATGCATCAAGGTGTGTGTGCGTGTGTGTGTGGGTGTGTGTGTGTGTTTGTGTGTGTGTGTGTTGATGGAACCACAGCTCTTCAGTGTGTAGGTCTGTTGCTTTTTGGGTCCTTTTCCCACTTGAAATACTTGAGAAGATTTCAAAGTAGTTTAAGACAGACTCTGACAAGTGAGTTTACAAGGTGAGTCACCTTGGAATAAGTGAGTGAACTCCCATGAGCCTCAGTTTCCTCCTCTATACACCAGGGACAAGGGACAGTGTTCCTACCTTCAAGGATGGTGATGGGGTCGATGCGTTTGAGCAAAGGCACTTGGCTGCAAGTGGAGGCCCTTGGCCCCCCTGTGTTCATGATCTCCTGGGGTAGCATCCACATATGGTCCAACCCTACCCATTGTGACCCCAAGAACTTCCCTTGTGGCGATGCTGTCACAATGGCCCCTCAG